CAGTATATTACTTTTAAAATATTAAAACATTGAGTGGGGGCCCGTGACCACACTGGTCCCAGTGTGGCTCCGCCATTAAATACCCAAAAAAATCATCCTAAGATCATAGTAAGTGCAAATTTTTTTAAAAAAAATTTGGAGTGTAAGAAGAGACGCTTTATTTAACACAAAAGAAGCATCATAAGGCAATATGTGTTGAAGAATGTAAAGTCCCCCATCAGAAACTTAATTGAATAAATTACAACTTATAATAAGTGGTTTCATTCCTAATAATACCGATCCTTTTTATGATAAAATCCCACCTACTGGGCTTTGTAAGTGGTTAAGTTGGGGACAATATCGATATTACTAGTAGTGGGTCACTTATCCATCTCTCTGAAATTTAACAATATGCAAGACATCACATCCATACAAGTGGCCAATGGCCATCCCTTCGCCTAAAAAGAAAGAAAATGAACTACGTGAAATGAGAGCAAACTGTGGAAATCAAACTTCTTTCGCAATTTACAATTGCAGATATTAAAATTGTGTAAACAATTGCAAGCTTATTGTGAATTATAGAAGTCAGCCACTACAAGCCCTAATGTGACTCGGCACCTTTTATTGTCTATTTTCTACTTTGATTCATTTGGCCCTTCCATTGAAAACCAAAAAGAAATTGGCCATTTGTTCATGATTGGCCTCATGAATCATTTTAATCCAGATCACGTATGATCAAGATTTGTTGACTGCATCTGCATACCCTTACTCACTGTCAAACATTTGACCACCAAACAGAAAGCACACACTTCCATGGAGACTGGAGTTGACAAAAAAAAATACAAAACAATCAATGATTAGTGTATTATTATAACTCAGTTAATTTTAAAAATGCAAATTGCAAAACGTACGAGCTTTGTCAGTTGCTATCTCTTTGATTTCAGGACCATGTGCTTTGTCTCTGTCTAACGTGCGCCAGGTGGGTGTTGCTTTCTATCGGAGCACAGCATTTCTCGGCTGAGCAATGCTACAATGTGCTACGTGACATTTGAGGATTTTGTTTCCCCGATTCAAAATGCCACGCTGGCGAATTGAATTGATCCAGCAGGATGCGCACATGCAGTTACGGAGAACAGCGCAGACATCTGGCGAACGAGTCACGTGGCCTGGGACCCACTCCCACGTTGCTCACGTGTTCTAATAGGAGGTAGCCTTTTTTTTTCTTTTTTTTTTAATCAACTAATTAATAGTGAAAATATTTTCTTGTTCTAATATGTTTGCAAGATGGTGATGTAATTTGTATCATACATTTAGAATATCCAAACTAATTGGAATATTCGTATGCAGTGGGCTAACCTACTACAATGGGTCAAGCTCATTTGGGGCGTGCCATCGGGTCTTAGGCCCAAAACCTAACATACACGACCATAGCTTTAAACCGCGCTGCTCTAGTTCAATATATGTTTTTATGTGCCAACGGGGTATAGTTTAGTGAAAAGAGATGTTGGCTAGTACACCAATCATTTCATGTTCGAACTTCCATGACACTTTGGTAGTTTGTATGAGAAACCTTCCTCTCATTATAGTTTAAAGTATAACTTGTATTAAAAAGAAATTAAACATATTTTTTTGTGTTATATAATGAGGATATTCATAGACTATGCATTGGAATTAAAAATATTATAAAAATGTTAGGGTTATAATCCTAACAAACTTCTCATTCTTTCTCCATGGATTCTCTCTTCTTTATGACTTTGTTTCTCTTTTTCTCTATACTACTGGTCATGATATATAATAATTTTATATTCTCACTGCCTCGTCTTGTCTCTTTCAAAAACTGAAATTGAGCCACACTGAATTGTTCCTTGGATTTACCAACGTCGGTTTTCTTGATTGTTGGTACGGCGTTGGTGCTGATATTTGGTCCACCGAGGCTTTTAGTTTGGTGGTCTATTTGTGCTCAAACCCGAACCAACCCAAACTAAACCAATATTTGACCTCTCAAAGCTATGCTTACCCCACTCCCCACAATTATATTGCTACATGCAAAAGCAACATAACCTGTCGACAGAGAGCATAGAACAGGAATGTGCTACCAAATAGTCTTCCCTTTGGCCTCAGTGTTATTCAGCCTATCTAGTAGCTTTCCCAGAAATGCCCTTTCAGATCGCATCAATCATGACCTCTTGATTGGTCGCTAAGCACATGTAGCATGAAATGCATGCTACGGTGAAGTTCTTTATCAAGGACATTAATTCATGACAAGTTAAGAAACATTAATTCATGTTAATTGAAGCAAAAACACTGAAGACACCTAGAAATGAAGAGAGTAAACACTGAAGAGAGTAGACATTTATATATATTTTGATACAAGCGATTTCTACTTTAATCTAATCTAAATTATGGAAAGGGGATTCAAACTCGGATGCAGAGTAAAGAGTTAGCATATTCACTCTAGCCAACTCAGCTAAACCCACCATGTATGCCAATGAATAATGTTATAGGCTGGTTTAGGCTAAACCCTAAACCATGTCTGCATTTTATTTTTCTTAAATGTAATATATTGCGTCTATATCTAACTCGGTCATCTAGGTTCCGATGCTTCATGGAAGAAAAAGTGTTGAAAGCAATGGGTTATGGGTGTGCATCTCAGGACCATGACCTACAGTGAGGAGAGCTTCATTGTTAGTGAAGGGCCCACTACTTCATCCACGCTCTTCTTCAGAAAAAGTGATGTCCATGGAGACGGAGGGGATAGCTCTAAATTTGGACATCAAATATATTTTCCGTTTCCACGTTCTCTTTATAGATTTTTTTTTTCTTTCTATTTTTCCTCTTCCTTTATCTACGGGACCAACTATATGATTAAAAATTGAAACAAATTATATTAAATCGTCACATAAAATAATAAATCAATTTACAAATTCTGGATTTGAAGCAGCTGTAGGTCTATATATGAAAACAAACCAAAGAAAGAAAAACAAAGAGAAATATATTATATAGGAGGCCTTTTAAAATGCAATCATAGCAGAAACAGAGTCAAGCTGATTGAAGAAGATATTTAGGTAGAGCATACAGGGAGAGCGAGAGACATGTGGACAAGGGTCTTGGTCAGTATCACTCCAGAAAAAAACAGAAAAAAAAAAAAAAAAAGTTAGTTGTGAACCAATAATTCTACAATTAGTCTAGGGCAAAAAGCAGGATGCATTATTTGCCTCTGTTTATAGATTCCATCAACTTTTCTAAAAGAACACAACTTTTAAAAAAAGACATTTTCGTTCTGTGTCGTTAAGCATATCACAACACTTTTTTAAAAAAAAATTACGAAAAAGCATTACTTGGCTTTTTTTCATCCTTTTTTTTCCCCCTTTCTTTATCAGATTAGCACAAGCTTAAAAATGCTTTAAAAGCCGAGGTCTAACGTAGTGGAAAAAGAGCCTTTCACTTGCAGACCAGAGATCTCAAGTTCGAATCCCTAAGGCATCATAGTTGTGTGTGTGTGTGAGAAATCTTCATCCCATATAGTTTAGATTATCACTTGTACTAAAAAAAAACTTTAAAATATAAATGGATTTTTGTATAAATGTCACCTGAACTTGTACCTTAGTTTCAATTTGTCAACTTAAAGAAAAATTTAATAGAAATGTCAACTTAATTTTTCTAAATCCATGATTTGTCATCTGATTTTAACATCATCCAATTTTTCATCCATTTTTAAGGGTATTTTACTCTTTCCATTTTCAAGGGTATTTTAAAAATGGAAAAATCATTATTATAAAAAATTGTATATATTTTAAACAACTAAAAAAAAAAATTTATCACCTTCCCTCATCCCTTGTGTGCCACTGATGGCTCCAACCAAGCCTACCCACCTTGAAATCCATTCCCCCTTCCTCCTTCTCTCTCTACCATGGAACACCCACTCTCGACACAAAAGTTCCCTTAGCCCACCCAAATCCAGTCCACCACTTTCTTCTTATTTTTTCTTTTTGGTATTTTTTCCATTTGCATATTTAAAATAGTTGAAGGACATCTACCAAACCAACAATTCGGTAGCCTAACAGATGGTGACCAAGCAAACTTAGATCCTTCAACAGAAACACAGTGGCGTAAGTTCTTGAAACTATAAAGATAAGAAAGGGGTTGGATTTTGGGTGGGAAGCTTAAGTAGTTTTAAATCAGGTATTTGAAAATCTCAAACACATGCTCAATGAACACCATAAAATTTTTTATACATGCTCGAAGATAGAGAGAGAGAGAGAGAGAGAGAGGATGGAGGAGAGAAGGGGGGGGGTCCTATGAGATGTGTTTTGGGGGCGGGTGGGGTTGGGTAGGGGAGAAAGGGAGAGAGAGGTCTTTTTTTTTTTTTTTGAAAATGAAAAGACTAAAATACCCTTAAAAATGGATGGAAAATTGAATGGTATTAAAATCAGATGACAAATCATGGATTTTGAAAAATTAGGATGACATTTCTCTTAAATTTTTCTTTAAGGTGAAAAATTGAAACTGTGGTATAAATTCAGGTGACATTTCTAAAAAAAAAATCCCAAATATAAATATAAAACATTTTACACACGTATTTTCCTCCAGAGTCAATATATTTTTCTTTGAAAGTAATTTACCAAAATCATAAACTTTTCTGAAAAGTAAAGTGAACCCAAGTTTTTACTTTATGCAATGTCCCAGACTCCCAGCTGCAGCATAAAGTAAGTCTATAAAATACTAAATGGAATTGCTGCAATATCCCTACCAACTTTAGCTTCCTCCCTACTCCTGGACTCTTGCTGTTGCATCCAGGCCATTAATAGCAAGGTAGGTTAATTTTCAGTTTAGTATTGTCACTTGAAGCTTGAATTCCTCAAATAAATATTTTCATCAAACTTCTGCGTCTGTAGTCTTTTATATCCCTCTTCAGCTCACCCTTCATCCATTTTCAATTATTAGTTTTGTTTTGCTAGACGTTTGGTTGAACACTTGTTAAGCCTTTTACTTATCATCTTAAGATTTCTATATATTTTCAGGACCAACGAAACGACGTCGTGGTACTCATAAAGTTTCTTTGACTCTGCTCTAGTAATGAATCCACACGAGACCTTTGTGAATGTCGAAGAGAGTTTTGTGAATCTTGACGAGAGTTTTGTGAACCCTGAAAGTTTTGTCCTAAGGTTTAGTTTCTTTGGATTTGTTTTTTATTTTATGTTAGGATAGATTATTTTTCTTGATCAATCTTATTTTAATACAATTATTATTATTATTATTTTTACTAACCGCTATTAAACTACTCTAATCTACGAGAGGGCACTTTGAACTCGGGTGCAAGGGGGCGGGAAAATGCCATGATCAACTAGCATAACCTACGTCTCCTATCTTATATTATTATTTTTGAGAATTCATTTGCCAACCATTTTAGAAAAATTAATATTACACACCCTTATTTGCCTTTACAAAAACAAAATAAAATCCTCTCAAGTTCTACCTCACATGCTTATAATATTCATAGTATACGTGGAGTGTTTGTTTGTTTGTTTTTTTTTTTTATACAAGTAATAATTTACTCTAAATTAATTCAATTTATGTGGAGGGGGATTCGAACTTGCAAGGGGACGAGCTCCCTGCCCTCGTCAACTGGCCAAACCCAATTTTGCTATTTTCAATTTTTTTTTATACAAGCGATGCTCTAAACTACTCTCAATTGATTCTTAAAAAAAACCTACTCTAAATTAATCTAATTTAAGGGGAGGGAGATTCGAACTTTGGTGAAAAGGGACATGCTCACTCCCTTGACCAAGTGGCCTAACTTATTTTATTTTATTTTTAATTTGCATTTTTAGAGTTTCCATAAATATTTGACTGAGACTTTCGAACTTCTGCCCATATAATTTGTAAAGGGTCTATAATTATAATTGTGTGCATCCCATATTTATGAGGAATTTAAAATTAGCCCAAGGCCCAAATTTCCGAGATGGCTGACCCATATTGAGGTAGGCTTATATCATGTGAGGAGTGAAGACTTTATCGTTTAAAATTGTCCGTGTTACTTAATTGGTACCAACTTGTTTTTCTTTTTGTAGCCCAAAAAAAAAAAAAAAAAACTTGTTTTTCTTTTACATTACAATGCCTGCATTCTGTATGTATTTGTATCAGTTCCGGCAAGAAGCCTCCTGCAAGAGGTGAAGGAAAAACAGCAAGGAAAAAATGGCCAACAGCAAAGGAAATTTTTGACCCACAAGGGGCCTTCCTTCCATTATGGAACAAAATATTCGTAATTGCTTGTGTGATTGCAGTCTCATTGGATCCTTTGTTCTTTTACATTCCAAACATCAATGAGCAATACAAGTGCCTTGGAAAGGACAAAAAGTTGAGAACTACAGCCCTTCTTCTCCGATCGCTCATGGACCTCACGTTCGTAATCCATATGGCTCATCAAATTCATGTCACGGCGAAAATTGTGGCCTCCGAGCAGGTTGCAAGAAAAGGAAAGGCAGATTGGTTGTGCAGAAGACAAGAGTTGGTTAGGGCAATTCCCTGGTTTTCCATCCTAGTTGACTTTCTTGCTGCTCTTCCAATCCCACAAGTAAGATAAAATTCATTTATATTTGAGATGTAATTCCAGTAATTGATATTTTTGCTCACACAAGAAGAGGAAAGGATCTAATCATCTAACCTTTGGAGTGATGATCTAAGTCTAACCCACTGTAATTATTTTTGCCATGCAGGTGGCAATAGGAGTTGTCTTTTTCAAAAGGAGAGGCTCTGAGTATTTTCGCAAAGTGGGTATTATGACCTCCCTTATTCTCTTCCAATATTTGCCAAGAGTTTATCGAATATACCTATCATATGAGGAACTTACAAGAATCAAAAGATGGGTTAGAGGTGCATTCAATTTTTTCCTATACATCCTTGCTAGTCATGTAAGTTTCGTCTTCCTCGTCATAACTTCTTTATTTCATCGTTTCTGCATTTCATGGAGTTGCATTATTTTTCTCTATATAATTTTATTTTATCATTCACTAATTTGCTTGTTTAATTAGGTTCTCGGAGGTTTTTGGTACTTCTTTTCCATACAACGAGAGACGTCATGTTGGCATCAAGCTTGTCAAAGAAGTATTGAAAATTATTGTGTAGCTACGTATCATTTTCATTGCGATGACTTTAGTTTGAGAAATGACAATATGACTTCAAGTAAAGTCAAATTCCTAAGTGAAGCTTGCCCATTGGATCCACCAAATTCCACAAGATTTGATTTTGGAATATTTGATCATGCCCTTAAGTCAGAGACAATACCTTTTCTGCAAAAATTCTTTCACTCTTATTGGTGGGGCTTGCGAAATCTCAGGTTCGTATTATGCATATCATTTTGCAATGATTTTATTCTGTTTTCTTCAACATTAAGAAACACAAACTAGGCTCATTACTTGATTTTTTGTACTAAAAAAAAGTCTTCAATAAATACTAACCTCTTCATACACACTATGATATAGGCTTTTCATTACGTAATCTACATGTAGCTCTATGTACTCTTCAGCAGTTAACAGATTTTTTATCAATCTTATTAACGGAAGGTGTCTTTTGAAAGGTTTCGTTAAATTCGAGTACTGGTCAAACGGGTCTTTAAAAGTTGGATATGGGTTTGTAATAATCCCAGTTTGGGGAGTTCACTAAAGTTAATCCCTTTATATTTGTTTCCATTGCAGTAACTTTGGAACGAATTTAGAGACAAGTAATTACGTGTGGGAAAATTGCTTTGCAATTCTAATTTCTGTTATTGGCTTGCTACTCTTCTTGTATCTGATCGGAAATGTCCAGGTTGGGAAACAATCTACCTCTCTATTATTATTATTGTCATTATTTATGTATATTTTTCTTCGAAACAAATTAAGCTTTAGAGCATATAAGTACCAACAACATTGTATAAGCTTGTTTGTGGTGAGACAGACGTATATACAGTTGGCAACTACAAAATCGGAGGAGATATGCCAGAAGATGATGATGAAAGACCTAGAGATCCAATTGTGGATGTCTAGAAATGGTCTCCCCGATGATATGAAGACCGTGATTATGAAAAATGTCAAACAAAGATTGGAACAAGATAAAGATGCTGATGTAGAGAATCTTTTCTCTATTCTCTCTCGGAATAACAGGAAATCTATAAAGCGCCACCTCTGTATGAATACACTAAAGAAAGTACGTGATGTTCCATTGCTCACCTCTCTAGCTACCTATAATTTTTATTTTCAATGTTTCTAAAGTAAATATAGTGTGGTAAATATCATCCACGCATTATAATATAAGTGGATATTTATTAATACTATAGCTTAAAAGTGGGAAATATTAATTGTGTTGTCCACTCATATTTTAACACGTGGATTAGCTATACCACGTGACCGTATGTGTTGTCCACTCATATTTTAACACGTGGATTAGCTATACCACGTGACCGTACTTCAGTACCAAAATATAAGTGGACATTTATTAATACCATAGCTTAAAAGTGGGAAATATTAATTGTGTTGTCCACTCATATTTTAACATGTGGACTAACTATACTATGTGACTGTACTTTAGTACCATACAATTATTTCTCCTAACCAAAACGTAAATATTTCTTCTATTGAATTAATCTGAGCTATCGATATGTATATATGTGTTTGTATGTATAGGTACCAATGCTTCAAAGCATAGATGAAAGGGTATTGAAAATGATTTGCGACCATCTGAAGCCAGTGATCTACACGGAGAATAGCTATGTGATCCGAGCAGGAGAACCACTTGACTTGATGCTCTTCATCACACAAGGAATTATATGGACCTTTGCAGGTACTAGTGCTGCTGGTGATGATTCTGGAAAATTGAATGGCTCTTCTTCATCGTCATCATCAACATCAATCACAAAGTGTCTTGAGAAAGGCGATTTTTATGGGGAAGAACTTCTAAGCCGAATTTCGACATATATCTCTTTTTCAGACCTTCCTATATGCACCGAAAATGTGAAATGTCATACAAAAGTAGAAGCCTTTACTCTGTTGGCCAAGGACTTGAGGAGGGTAGTGTCTGAATTCTGGTGGTATTTCCCCGATTTGAAGAATTCCGAGTTAAAGGAGAAATCAGCACTTTCTTCCCTGCGATCAATCCGTCAACGAAATCGATCAAAGAAGGAGGCTACAATGCCTCCTAAGTCTGATGCTGATCGAGAACAAATGCACGCAAATTAGCAACTATATGCTTCATGTTAATTTATTGATACATATATGAAATAAATTAAATCTTAACAATATCCAACAATACAATTTGCCTCTTGCCTTTTTTTAACGCTAGAACTATGCACACATGGTATTGAAAGTTACTGCAAATAGATACTGCCACGTGGCATGCTTCAATTAATGCATGCCCATGTGTGCATAGAAAGTCGAAGTGACAACCAATGTCTAAAATATCAATGGTTTAGGAAATATTGGTAGTTCAAAAAGACGGAAATTTTGATGAAAATATCGGGATATTATCGATCTATTGAAAGTTACTGCAAATAGATACTGCCACGTGGCATGCTTCAATTAATGCATGCCCATGTGTGCATAGAAAGTCGAAGTGACAACTAATGTCTGTCTGGGGAGTGCTAGCAACCTTCTCTCTAACCTTCTCTTTTGGACCTTCTCCCTTCTTCTCATGACAAGTGTCACTTTCCTTACACTTAAAACAATGTCATTAATGCATCACACAAACTAGTTTTTGTTTTCCAAGTTTACCCTTATTAAATGTATTAATTTTTTTTAATAACAAGCTAATTTTTTTACAACTTTCTTACCATTTTGTTAAAAAATTAAATAACCCTAAACCCTACCATAATCATTTTTTTATAATGATTTACTACAGTATTTTACATTTTATAATATGATGATATTCTTTATTGAACAGCAGCATACGCAAAATTCTAGGGTGAACATTGCATTACCATAAAGAAAAATATTGCATAAGACTACATCTATCTACAACGAAATATAACCTCAGATTTCATCAACCAACCCAAAAAAAAATTCATCACTTATCAGCTTTTTATTTATTTATAGGAAACAATTATATATAACATCACTTATAAGCTTTAAACATCAAAACATTCCCCAATTCAAGATATAATGACCATATTCCTTATCTAAATCACAACCATGGCTACAAAGTTGAGACTAGAAACTTACCCTACTTCCACTTCAGCCCAATTGGTTATTTGAGTTCTTTGTAAGTTCAACCCAAGTCAAAGTCACATGATTTCTAAAGCATTCCCAACATACAAACCACACAAAGTGTTTTCCCAATAATTTATATTTATTCTAACGAAAAACCCAGAGAAGAGTCATACATTGCTGCATCTTAAGGACCAAAAAGTGATCAATACCAAAGAATTCCAATACAAAAGCTTGGAGAAGGTCCAAAAGAGAAGGTTGGAGAGAAGGTTGCTAGAATTTCTCTGTCTAAAATATCAATGGTTTAGGAAATATTGGTAGTTCAAAAAGACGGAAATTTTGATGAAAATATCGGGATATTATCGATATCGATAAAAATTAAATAAAAACCACGAAAATTATAAGAAAAACTTGGAAAATTTTCTTGAAACTTTGTATGATGTTTATTTAGTCAATTATCTATTACTTTATCACAAAAAATTGGAAAGAAATGCATTGCATGATGGGTTTAACTGATTTAAGTTGATTATATAGCGAGCTGACAAACACTACGAGTGTAGAAAATATGTAGTAATTAATAAAAAAAGATTAAACACAGCATAATCATTTTTTTAATAATGATTTACTACAATATTTTACATTTTATAATATGATGATATTATTTATTGAACAGCAGCATACGCAAAATTCTAGGGTGAACATTGCATTACCATAAAGAAAAATATTGCATAAGACTACATCTATCTACAACGAAATATAACCTCAGATTTCATCAACCAACCCAAAAAAAAATTCATCACTTATCAGCTTTTTATTTATTTATAGGAAACAATTATATATAACATCACTTATAAGCTTTAAACATCAAAACATTCCCCAATTCAAGATATAATGACCATATTCCTTATCTAAATCGCAACCATGGCTACAAAGTTGAGACTAGAAACTTACCCTACTTCCACTTCAGCCCAATTGGTTATTTGAGTTCTTTGTAAGTTCAACCCGAGTCAAAGTCACATGATTTCTAAAGCATTCCCAACATACAAACCACACAAAGTGTTTTCCCAATAATTTATATTTATTCTAACTAAAAACCCAGAGAAGAGTCATACATTGCTGCATCTTAAGGACCAAAAAGTGATCAATACCAAAGAATTCCAATACAAAAGCTATAGCTCAAAACACTAAATCATACAAATGTAGCTATTACTATTGAAAGAGTATTAATATGAAATGACCAACTACAATAAAAGAAACATAAAGGCAGAGCTCAAATTGAATAACTATGAAACTTTTACAACAAAACACAGATCATTTACAAGAGGAACACCCTCCCAATAATCGAAAATTCAGCACCAGATTGGAACTAAAATCAAAACCCAAAAATAAAAATTACTTCATAATGAGACATGAAAAGTTCATCCAACAATTGATAA